TGCTGAACGCAGCGCAGTCCTGACGTGCACCAGCCTTCCCCACCAAAACCACAGTTGTGACTCTTGCAAAATTTCTTTGGACCAGATGAAATCTGAACTTTCAAGGACCACATGTGCTATGATACCCTTACAGAAACTTCTTGATAATGATAAATGATGCAAAGACTCTTTCTCTCCCCATTTCTGCACCTTTCATGAAATCCATTTTTTCCCCCTACCCTTAGAAGGGCCACACTTACGAGCAACACAGCTTTGCAGAAGAAGCATCATTTACTTGACATGTGAAGTTTTTTATGTGGATGTATCATCCCAGTTTCAACAGCTGTCAAACCCCTGCTCCCTGTCACAGGTCTGTATTCCCTCAGAGCCCAGGAGCAGCTACTATTCCTCTGCAGGATGCGCATTACTTGATGTCTAAGCAGGAGTAGAGCTGGAGTGGATACCAGCCCTCCAGCCTTGAGCCCTCTAGGAGCTCAAATTCTCTTCTGTCGTGAATAAACCCAAGCAAAATCACTCCTCTGCTCCTAACTCTAGCTTAAGAATGAACTACAGCAAGCAGTTAATTATGGATTATCAAATCAGGTAATTTAACTACATGATTTTTTTCTCCTATGGTTAGAGAAGGTTACAGAGCTTATTAGACCAGGGATGGTGAGAAGTGATACCAGATGGCATGTCTAATGGTCAAACAAAGCTTTCAGTGTAGCATGTGCCCACACAGACACACAGACAGACCAAACCGAGTCCTGCAGACTTCACTGCTGGCAACCAGGGTAGAAACCTGGGACAGAAGCCCCTAAATCTGACCCAAAAGAAAAAAAAAAAAAAAAAAAATTAAGGGCACCGGGGAAAAAAGCCCCTAAAACTGCCCCAAAAAAAAAAAAAAAAAAAAAAAAGTTAAGGGCCAACTCTGTTTTCTGTACCATTGCTATTTCATGCAGCATCTCTGTGATGCTCCACTATATAACATCCACCAGGGAACTGTCGAAAACACTGCAGGTAATAGAAATCATAATTTGTAAAAAAATCCAAAGCTATGGCAAACCTGAAAAGGTTCATGGGGGGCGGAGTGAGGAATAAAAAATCAGGCTGTTGAAGGAGAAATCTGCAGAAATTGTCAAACGCATCAAAAGCCTCGGGGACACAGGATTTGAGAGATGTTGCAACTTAAGTTTAGAGGAGAAAAGGTTTCCCCAGGAAAGAGAGAAATGGGTGGAAGAAACTGTATTGACACCCATGCAAGCACCCAAATGCAACTGAAATAAACTCAAGAGTATTTCAGCCCTTCCCCAAATGCTGGAGAAGTCCCCTAATTTCAGCAAAGAAAACAGTGCTACAGAGCCATCATCTGAGCCGTGAAACATAAAGGAGAATGGGAAAATGGGAAATAGAAAAGCCCCCAGGATGTCTCTGCAAGGTGCTGAGCAGAACCTTAAACTCTCCAAAGCTCTCTCAAATCTCCAAATAAGAGTTACAAGAAGAAATTAATGTTCAGGGCAGTTTTGTTGTGTTTTACGGCGTTTTCTTCTAACCAGGTTTTGATTTGCAATGGGAAATTTAACTTCTTGGTGTTGTTAAAATGGGAATCCTCTCCCTTTGATCCCACCTTGTATTTAAGGCAAACTCAGCACGACCACAAGTTGAAAGCACCTTTGCCCCTGGAGCTTAGCGAGAAACATTTTTCTCTCCAGACCCTGCCTGGTCAAAGCCCATTTCATTTCGATTTTAAGTCTGCAAAAGAGTTTGGGGCTCACCTCTTCCTCCCCTGCACGCCATACCCACTGCCCCCAAAGGCACCCTGGCAATCGGCACACATTAAAAACCTGAATTTTCACTGCTGTGTATGCTTGTGCTAGATTTAAAATATCCCAAAATTACCCGATATTTAATGGGCTCCATGCCTGGGCACGGCTGCCTGGGGATGTGCAGGCTATGGCAGAGGAGCAGCGAGCTCCCGTCACCTCCCTCATTCTGCGAAAGGCTCAGCGAAGACTAAAAATATGTTAACGTAGGGCAGAAAAATTTTGGGGACAGGTAGCAAGAGGCATCAAAACCAGTGGTTATCTTCTTCAGGCTCTGCAAGAGCAGGAAGCCTGCCAGAGAGTGCGTACACATGATACGGGAATAAAAACAAGACTCGGCGAGGATAAGGCTAAATGAATTTATTGCGTCTGCAGACGCCGGGGAAAGAGCTGGAAGGATTCCCATACTGACACCACACTCTGCGAGGGGGGGGCACAAAAAAAACAGCCCAAGACTCCGCGTTCAGATTGTCTCATGGAAGAGACAAGAAGTTGGAGAGTAAACAGACAAAACGAAGAGTGATGAGTCACAAGGACAAATTAGTAAGAATAAGGAAAACTGCCATCTTTAACCAACCTTAGTTCTGTACTTGGGAAAAGTCAACGCAGCCTCTCCTGCCCTGCTTCACGAGCCCGTCCGAGCTCTCCAGAGGAGTCAACAACCATGTGGGTAAGGAAGATCTGACCTGCAGATTACCCGGATTTCCAAAATGGATTTGCAGCACCCTTCACTAAAGCATTTCAAGGAAAAGAAGCTGCTGTGGCATAAGAGAGGAAGGTTTTTGTATGGATAAATCAGTAGGAGAAAGGAAAAACAGTCGGTTCTTTGATGGAAGAAGGTCCCCAGAAGTTCTGCTGGGATCTGGGCTCTTCAAAATAGTCTCAAAGTGTCTGGGAAAGGGAAATGAGCAGTTAAACAGCAAAGATTGATGATCGCAACCCAGTAACTCAGCATGTTACAGATAAGGGCTGACCACGAACTGCAAGAAGTCCACGCAGGACTGAGGAACTGGGTAATAAAACGGCACGTTATATTTTCCCATTGAATCAACCAAAGAATATAGTAGAGCTGAAAACACATCAGTGAAGGGGGAAAATTATAACTGCCATCTTTACGCTCATACTCATCCTTTTCTTTACACCTGCAAAAGATGCAAGGCCAGAAGTCCTGCCCTGGGGCACGGCGGGGGGGCCTGCTCATCCATTTTACGCCAGGAGCTGCTGCATTTGTCAGGAGCAAACAGCCACAATGTCAGCTCCCCCACTGAAGGCTTCTTCTTGGAGAAGGAGCGGCTTTTTCTTTTGCAACTCTTCTGCTTTGTATGAGAAATTGTAACTTGGTTCCAGATGTCACATTTTTATCTCTCTCCTAGTTTTCCATGACTCTTCAAAGAAGTCTGGCAGCAATTTGAGACATTCATTAGTCAGTTATTTCTAAAGCATGTTACCAGGATATGATTTGGAGTTGTGTAATGTCTGTGTTTTTCATATACTCCCATAACCTACACTTTAATCCAGAGTTATTTATTACAAGGTTTCTTTAATTCTGGTTTGCCTGCCACATTTCATTTGGGCTTTTCTTCCAGAAGTCACATTCACACACGCACAAAAATGCTCAGAAGCTCAGACATTTCAGAATACTTGATTTTATTCCCATTTTTACTTATTAGCTTCTTCAGAAGGCGGGGGGGGGGGGGGCGGGGGGAGGAAGAAAAGAAATAATTACAGAAGTAGAATGAAAGTTGAAAAAACATACTGCTCCAAAAAAAGTTTGTCTATTAAACCCAACTCTTTGGCCACAGAGGTGTTTGAAAATTAGGAAATTTGCAGTTAATGCCGAGTTTTGCTCTGGAAAGTGCCTGCGTAGAGGACTGAAAGGATTGACGACACAACTCAGCATCAAATTTGAACCATTCATGATTGTGTTTTCTTCTAACCGAAGGTTCTAACCACCCCGGATCAGAGAGTCCGAGCAAGCTCCCATCTTCTCACACACAGGTGTCACTACAAAATTCCTGCGGCCAATTTCCGCGCTCAGATGAAGCCTGTGAGCAGTGAGGGCAGGATCCCCACCAATGCACCACTGTAAGATGAACCGGGGCACAAACCTCTTTGCTTTCTCTTACTCCCAGTGCACAAGGGGAAAGGGAACCGGCTTCGGCACAAGCAAAGAAACTTTAAATAGGTCTTAGGTCTCTGCTGCTGTAGAGTTAAGTGATGTTGACGAAGTTCACAGCAATTAAAGAGATGCCCCCAGACTACAAGCATCCTCCATCATGTAGCTTCAGCTTAAAGCACGGGGCTGCACTGACCCTAAGGCATGGGATCAGTGTTAAGAAAGAAGAAAAGATTCATAAGCCGAGTGATCTCTAAATTAAAAAAAAAAAAAAAGAAATTACTAAGGACTCAAAGTGAAACAGTTAGAGGGGAACAGAAATTATATATTTGGAATGTAAATGTTTTAAAACAGTGCTTGTGCTTTACATATTCAAACCAAAAATCCCCTACCAGTGGTGCCCCAAAGCCCTGGTTCTTCCCAAATCCAGCCTTTTGTGAGCTTTAATTTTTCTGCTTTAGGCAGAGCTGCAGGGGCAGCCGATGCTTCCGGCAGCTGAGGGATCACAGGCAGTTAGAGATTAGCAGGATGCTTCTGCTCTAAAAAAAATTAGCAGCGAATTACTACTTAAAGTTAACCTTTAACTTCACGTTAGATTTCCCTTACTGCCTCTCTGGGATAAATGCCAGCAACCTGCAT